TCGGTTTTTTTTTAATTTTATGTTTTAGGAAGAGTCTTGAACTTTGCCTTTAACCGCAGTTAAAACCACTCTCTGTGCTGAGGCTCATCCCTCTTTGATAGATGTCTGGACCCTGAAGGCATTTAGGTTTGCAAACCTGAGGATGTCATTTGAGAGTGTGAAATAGCATGAGGAAAGCGAGGGAAACTTGCAGAGGGATTGGATCGTGGAAGGACTTGAATGTCAGGCTTTGGCATGTTACACCTTTGCAGTTCGTAGGGAGCCAATGAAGGGTTTTGAGTGAAGTATTGAAGTAATTAGGCCTTGTCTGCCAGGATGACCTACCCTGGATCTGGGGAGATCTGTTAGGAGGCTTTGGCTGTGGCCCAGAGAAGAAGAATGAAAGAGTTGGACGCGATTGGGGCCGTGAGCACAGGAAGAAGAGGGTGGTTTGACAGCTGTTATGGAGGCTGACTTACTGCCAATTGGTAACTGATGAGATGTGAGGTGTTGATTGAGAATAATGGTACCAGTAACAGAAGGGGTTTGGAGGTGGGAATAAGTGTGGGCCCCAGAGGCATTTAGTGGTGATATAATGGATTTGAAGTGGGAGGCTGTCTTTCTGCACAGGCTGCTCAGTGGAGCAGTTGAAAAGTTGGTTCATAAAAAACTCAGTGTTGTGAGAGATCTTTTTGAACTTTTTTGCAAAGCTTCTATGAATAACATTGATAATTGTTTTTAACAACCCAATGACTTAATCTAGTTATTGTCCTCTGGGGGTCTCTACTTGGGGCAGGTAGCTCTAGTCCTTGGTGGTGGTTAGTAAACCCAGGCTGTTGGCTGCAGGGCGGGGTGGTAAGTACCCAGAGAGAAATTCTAGCGTGGACTAACGAGAACCGAGGTGAGAGCAGCTTGAGCTTATTCAGAAGTTGCATGAAAACCTGGGTGCTGGGGCCAGTGGCTGGAAGGCTTGCCTCACTTGGCATTGGCTGAACTGACAGCAATCCCAGACTTGCACACACACATTTCGCCCAGACTGGAATTTGGCAGACCTGCCGCATGCTGGGTGGGAGGCCTGGCTCGGGAGCCTACAGGTGCACCTGTGGTGGTTCTCGCAGCTGAACGGTTTTCAGCGTCTCTACGTGCTAGAGAGTGAACTCTTCAGTGAAGAGGTCTTGAATCTATTATGTAAGAGGCCTGGTTCACAGAAGTGGCTCCAGGAAGCCGTTGTAAATTATAAAAAAGGTGGTAGTTATAAGTGATTGAATGATGCATAAGCCTAGCCTGTTTTAGATCAAAATAATGTTATACTTGCATTTTATAATGGGCTGGAAGTTTGCTTTTGGGCTCAGTATGTAATGAGTGGATATAGTAACAAAATGCTCAAGCTTTAGTACTTAGAATTTTATAGGTTTATACTTTGTATCTTTGCTTATGGCTTTCTCAGTTATGTTTATTTTTTATTTATTTATTTATTTTTATGCCGAATCCTAAGGAGTAAACCCTTGTTCATATAACCCTAATTCCATCAAAAATATGCTACCAGTGGATCATCTGTTACATAACATAATTTCCATTCTACAGGGGTTTTTTGTTAATGTTAATAATATATTGCACAAGTAGGAGTTATAAAACTCGGTTTCATAATCTTTGTGATTGACTTTATAAAGTGTATTTATAGAAAATTCTGATTAAAAAATTTTTAATCTGCCTAAGCATTTTGCTTTAGTTATATTTAAGGAGAATACATGAGTTTATTTCAAATACATTAATAGAATTTGCTTGACTATTTACTTCTCAGTTTCAATTATTTTTTTGTTCTAGCTCAGGATCACAGACCTTCTTGGAAGATTTAAAATTGCACATAAAGGAGCTCCTGGGTGGCTCAGTCAGTTAAGCATCTGCCTTTAGTAAGCTCAGTCACGATCCCAGAGTTCTGGGATCAAGCCCCGCATGGGGCTCCCTGCTCAGCTGGGGGCCTGCTTCCCCCCCTCCCTCTCTGCAGCTCTGCCTACTTGTGATCTCTCTATCTCTCTCTGTGTCTGTCAAATAAATAAAATTTTTAAAAAATAAAATTGCTTATAAATTGTTAAGACCTTTGATTAGAAATTTAAAATCATGCCTTGAGTTTTGTGCCTACTTCGAAGATGCCACTGAAAGTGGGGTTTATTTCTGATAGCTGGTCTTTCATCAGCCTAAGCCATGCTCCCTTTAGGGTTTTTGTTTGTGGTGTCATGAGCTATGGCTTTAACACAAGCAGGTGGATTCAGGATGTCGGTTCTAGCCCCATTAGGGCTGAGTGGCTTGAATTTATATGGTATCTGTTTAAAACAATTTCTGCATTTTCCTCGGGTCAACTCTGTGGTGGTTAGTTTCTCAAGATCCCTTCTTTGCTCTGCCCCCTCCCTCTTGCTCATCTTTATTCTCTAATGATTTGAAGGGAGGGGTTCTATATTTCTGTGTTTCTCTTTGTGTTGGTGGTTTCTTTGTTCCAAGGAAGAACCCCATTTTCTGCTTCTCGTGTTCTGTTCAGAAACTCCATGCTCTGCTCCGAAATTGCCTGTCACCTGAGAGATGGCAGAACAAAGCAGGCAGCAAAGCTTTTTGTTCCAGCTCTGTCTTTTGGGGACGATGAACCTTGTGAATCTTCGGCGAACAGATCTCAGGATGGCTTGATCTTTTCCAAATGGATTAGCGTAACCCAGGGACCTTACTTGAGTTATAGCAAGAGCAGCTTTAACCATCAAGCTCTCCTTCGGATATAGCTCTTGAGAGGAAAAACCCTCTTAAAATTGAGAGCTTTTATGGTTTTTATTACTAGTTTAATCTGTATTCTTAAAAGGAATACCTAATCAGATATTGACAGTATAGACCATCTGTCTAAACAGGAATGTTTTCCTGTAAGCCAAAGACAGCCTTACCTTTTCTCAGATTAACATTCTGTGACAAATGCCACTTTGTGGGCCAGACATTTTTCAACGTTAGATTGCATCCTTTAGTGTTTTCATTTACCACAGGGTGGAAGAATAATGCTGTACAAAACAAAACAAAAAAACAACTAATATAAAGACTTTGTAAAGGGTTTAAAGGTTTTAAGACTAAAGTTCATTTTTCTAAATCCAGTAGCTATCATTTAAGCTTAGTGTAGATAAACTGCTTCAGGGCAAGGATGGTATCTTCACTAGAGATGTCACCTATGCCTGAGGTAGGACCTACAGATAATGTTTATGAATAAAAATATTAGGTGGAGATGTGCACGATTTGCTGTTTTTTTCTTCATGAGTGGTAATTGCCCCATCGGGGTCTTTGTGTCTGAAATGCAGGAGCTCTCCTTGTTCTCTGTCCAGTTCTCTTGTTTCTTTTAATTACTGCTTGATCTTGCAGAACCTGAGTTTTAAAGAGTGAGCTAAAAATAGACTTGTCACTGTAAGCACCTCCTCGCATCTGCTTTTTTTCTGGGTCCCTGCAAGGTTGACCAGCTTTTTTTGGAGTTGTACATCAAAAACAGTTGGAGGAAAACCAGCATCTGTTTAGTCAACATTTCCAGTGTTACAACACTATGTCAGATTTTAAACCTTTTTTTTTTTTTTTTAAGCCAGGAATGTGCTTGCTTGCAGAGCAGTGGCAGTTGTGTTCAGTGTGGAGAGGGTTGGGTGCACCCGTGTGGAGGCTGTTCAGGGCAGGCTAATCACGCTGTATGCAGGGTTTACAGGGAGCATGCATCCTCCAGGGGAGCATGCAGGGTGGCTTGGTATCTCCGTTCGATCACGTGACTTTTTAAGCACCGAGAATGCACTAGACTCTAGAGGAGTCTGAAGTTAATTCCTCTTAGGTTTGCTCAGGATCCAGTGGGAGAACGCTGGCCTGGGCGTCAGCGCAGGATGTGGGTCCCACACTCTGCCACTGTCCTGCTGAATTACCTTGGTCGCCTCCTTTGTTACATATAAAATGGGGGTGGTCATGCCTGCCTGATGCCCATGAAAAACCTGGTACACCATGCTCCCCGAAGAAATGGTTTTGAAGGTAAAAGTAGGGAGCAGTGTCCTCATAGATACATGCATAAAACTTTGTGTGTTTCATTGCTTTGAATAGCTTCTGCTTCATGTCCCCTTGATTTTGAAAATACCAGACCCTGTTGCTATCGTTCTCTCTAACTCCTGCTGTGGATCAGCACAACCTCCCAGTTGGGAATGTTAGAAATAGTGCATAGCTCTTAATGAGAACCCCATTAGTCAGATGTCTGATGGATTCCCTTTATTCCCTGTCGGTTTTGATGGTTGGAGTACATTCTTAAAAAAAACTTTTCAGTGACACCGTAACTTTATCTTTTAATTGCATAAATGAGAGGCCTCCCCCCCTTGGTTTTTAGGAAAGATGTAGGAGGTGTGATGTATGTTCTCATTATAGAAAGATAATTAATTGTACTGATTTTTGCCAAAGGATGCTCGTTAGTGTATTGGGAAATAGCATTTGGAATAATTTACTAAGTAAGCTTTGTGATTGTGACATCTTTACACACATTTCTGTAAGCCTGAGTAAACGCATTCATTTAAGAAAAATTGACAGTGTAAAATTTCCATTTTTAATTTAATTTTTATCGTATAAAATTTGAAAAGTCCCAAAGTGGGGTGTGTGTGTATGTGTGCACGTGTGCTCACAAGTTTCCTTCCTTACCTCATTCTGTAGCCTCCCAATTCCTCCCTGCAAAGGCAACCACTTACATGTTTTTAAAAAACAAATCTGGGTTTACTCATTGTTTGGTGCTTGGGTGTATCTGTCTTGTCATTTTCAGCCTTTTGCTCAGGCCAGATGCCTGTGTACATGCGCTATAATTTTTGGTTGCAAGTTAGAGGAACCTGGGAGCAGGTTCCTCGTAGCTGTACACTTGGATGTTGGCAGACATGACGGTTGTAATTTCTGTGATGATACCTCTTACTCAGTGGAACCAGCTTTTAGAGCCCATGTTCACCCTGGCTTTTGGGTGTCTTGATTTTCACATCTGTGTTTTTCCCATTTTCTAGTTGCAGCATGAGAAAGCTGAACTAGAACAGCATCTTGAACAGGAGCAGGAATTCCAGGTCAACAAACTGATGAAGAAAATTAAAAAACTGGAGAATGATACCATTTCTAAGCAGCTTACATTAGAACAGGTAAGATGTAGTTCTCTCCATATAACTTTTCCCCCTGTTATCAGCTTGTTCCTTCAGGCCTTCAGATACCCTAAGGATTGTAAGTGAAAAGTATTTTTCAGCTGTTTCTTCCCACAGTGGAGACTTCATTTCTGAAGTAAGCATTGACAGAGCTGCATAGCACCTGCTCTCTCTCTCACACAGTTTCTCTTTTTTTAAACTGCAATTAATAAAGCTTCTGGAGATATGTTGTGATGTACTGATTTATAGGCAGGAAATGTTAGGTTCCTTTTACTGAGGGGAAACAATGTGTTTTTAACCACAGGATAGTTTCTGTGAAAGTTGTTGAGACAGTGTGGCTGTGGAACTAAAACTTTTCTTTTAGGGGTTCTTCAGCACAAACAGCATTTTTCTTCTTTGAGTTAGTAGCAATATTATTAGCAATCATTAACTCTATTATTTGAACCCTATCTTTTCCCAGCTCGATTTGTTGATAGACTTGGTTGTTTATCCTGGCTCAACCACTAACTAGTTGTATGACCTTGCATTGACTTTACTCACTTTTTTGGGCCAAGTTTTCCATTTGTAAGCAGAGAAGGACAAACTAAAATCCGGAATGGCAAGCTTAAACAGGTACAAAAGGTGGAAAGTAATTGTGTATAGTCCCTTCGTCCATTGCCCTTGGCAGACATTGGTTTTAGAACGTGGACCTTGCCTGGGGAGTCCAGGTCTTTATGCTCTTCCATACACAGAACTGTGGACAGCCATTATCAGCCCATCCAAGTTGGCATGTCAGATAAAAGTACTTGTTATCCCTAGGCTTGGTGCTCCCTGATGCTTTTCCCCCAACCTGATGTCCTGAGATTTTCTTTTCCCTAAGAGAAATTATAAGAGGCTGACCATAGTGTACTGCGATCTGGTTTCTGTGTAAAATTCAGTGTATTGATGAAAATCTTCTAGCTCTTTGTAATTTCAACCCTGATTGCTAATTCGATGGTTTGGCTTAGCCGTTCAGGCAAAGTTACCAGATTTATCCCAACTTTAGGGTCTTTCTGTGTGTCTCAGTTCATGCTGACTGGTTCTGAAATCACCCCCAGGGCCGCTGTAGTTTCATTATCGTCCCTGAGAATGAAATGGTGACGGGAATGTCAGCTTTGAGAGGAAGTCAGTTTTACTCTAACTGGCATCTGTTTTCTGTGTTATTCTTGAATCTCCCTGTATCAAAGGGAGGAATGTCACTGCGTTTTCTAAGACTGTGAATAATGGTCCTAAAAACATTTCTCTATCCCTTCCAGGGAAAGGGGAAAAAAAAGTTCTGTTTGCAGAGGTTGGTTATTTATTTTATACATATCCAGAGTATTGTAGATTTAACATTTGTCTTCAGATGTAATATTTGAATAATGAATTTGAATTCAGATGTAATATCTCAATTTAGAAAACGCCTACCACACACAGTTTAAAATCATTTTATTCCAAGTTCACCTCTTTAATTCCTAAGATAGGCAATAACAAGTTCCTTCAAGTGAAAACGTTGAAGATTCTTGTTTAAGTCCCTGACACACCAAATACTCGTTATTGGAACTTATTAATCAAGAGCTGACCACGTGACCAAGTGGAGTTCTCACAGAGATGGGTGTTGTGAGAGCTTCACTTGGTCACGGCCTTCACCGGTGGCTGTCAGGAATTGGAACAGCTTCTCTCTTGCATTTGTTCCGAAGCTGAGGAGACTTTGGGACTGGGGCTGTGACCCTCAGGGTTTAGCTGTCGCCACAAGGTGGAGGTAGTGGCCTGGCATCTGATCTTAGGGAACAGTCTGATCTTAGAGTCCATGGGGGAGAGAGAAGGGATTGCTGCACTGTCTTAAGACTCTCTGAGGACTTTAGTAACTGAAACCCTGTAAAATGATGTCCAAGGCATACGTTCTCATCAAGTTAATGACACGGTGCACTTTCAGGGTTATTTCAGACCTCAGTAATAAAGAAATGGTGTTCCACAATGGAGTACATGTACTGCAAAGTCCTATCCTGGAAATAAACCTCAGATCTGGAATATCAAGGTCCTATTTTAATTAAGATGGAGAAATTTAACATCATCATGAAACTCCCCCCCCCCCCTTTGTTTTGGGTATGTCTGGGATGATTAAATGTTGGGGATCTTGTTCTGTATTTTGTTTAGCTATAAATAACTTTAGTGCTTTGGGGGAATGTTTTTTTCCCTCCAGCAGGAATAAATGTCTTTTGTTCTTCCATGAATGTGAGCTGATCCTCTCTTGGTGATTATCCTCTGTATGATATACTGTAGGTCACAGTTTGTGTTACAGAATATATCCTCTACTGGAGATCATTATCAAGAGCAAAGGCGTGTACTACATTACATATTACAATGATTTGTCTGTGGTACATGCCTTTGCTCATCTACCTGACAATAAACGTATTTTTTAAACTGTAAGCAATTTGAAGGCAATTATCCCATGTGTCTCATGGTCTACCACTGCTCTGTTGGAAGAGTTTAAGTGTAGATTTGGCCAAGTAACTGGAAAGTGGTCATTTGTGTTTTGGAAGGAGATACAGTGTAGTGTTCAGAGGCGGGGCACTGGATTCCAGAGGAACTGGATGTGAATCTAGTTCTTCTGCTTAATATCCTAGGTCACTTTCTTTTCAGCAGTGATGGTGATGGTAGCAGCTTTATTGACATAAACTCACATACCATAAAAATCCTCCATTTAAAATGTACACTTTATTGGTTTTTAGTCTATTCAGAGTTGTGTAACGGTAACCATGATCAATTTTAGAGCATTTTCATCAGCTCAGAAGGAAACCCTGTGCCCTTCTGCTGTCACTCTGAATTTCCCATTCCCCTGAGGCAGCTACTACTCTACTTCCTGTCTCTGTATGAGCCCATTCTGAATGGAAGGAAGTGGAATCGTACGGTGTGTCCCTTTTTGCGAGTGGCTCCTTTCACTAGGTATAAGGCTTTTATCCATCTGTAGCCTGTATCAATACTTGACCCCTTTTCCCGACTGAACAATGTTTGACTGCGTGGCTGTGTCACATTTCATATATCCATTCATCATTTGGTGGACATTTGGATTGTTTCAACCTTTTTTCTTATTATGAATAATGCTGCTGTGAATATCCCTGTACATTTTTTTTTTTTTAAGATTTTATTTATTTTAGAGAATGCACTTGAGAGAGCGGGAGTGTGGGGCAGGGGGAGAGGGACAGACAAGGAGAGAATCTCAAGCAGACACCTTGCTGAGTGCAGAGCCCACCATGGACCCTGATCTCATGACCCTCAGGTCATGACTGGAGCTGAAACCAGCTGAGCCATGCGGTCCCCCTCATGAACAGTTTTTCGCATGGATTTGTGTTTTCATTTTTCTTGGGTACATATCTAGGAAGACATATGCTGGATTAGATGGTAACTCCATGTCTACCTTTCCGGGGGGATTGCTAGGCTGTTTATCTTTGTTTTTCTTTCTTTAAAGATTGATTTATTTATTTTAGAGAGAGAGCGCCTGTGAGCTGGGTTGGGGGGAGGGACAGAAGAAGAGGGAGAGAAGCAGACTCTGTGCTGAGTGCAGAGCCCACTGTGGGCCTCAGTCTCAAGACCCTAAGACCATGACCTGGGCTGAAATCACGAGTCACTCAACTGACCGAGCCACCCAGGCACCCCTGGACTGTCTTTTCAAGGTGGTCGTACCATGTTGATTAAAGCCATCTTGGTCAATGTGTAGTGATATCTCATTGTGGTTTTGTATTTCCCTGATGGCTGATGATTTTGAGAATCTTTTAGGTGCTACTTGGCCATTTTTGTGTCTTTTGTAAAAATGTCCATTCAAGATCATCTTATTATTGGATTGTAAGAATTCCTTATATGTTCTAGATATATTTCCCTTATCAGGATATATCATTTGCAGCTCACATGCTAGGAGGCCCTCACTGTAGACTAGGATTAGTCTAACCAACATAACTTCAGTGTTGTTACAGGCTTTTTTTTTGAACTGGTGGTCACTGCCTACAAAAGCCTTATTTGAAAATTTTTGTTCAAACATGGTCATTGTTAGTCTCTTAATTGGTATTCACATTTTCTTAGGTGACAGTAAGAACATTTAGAACTTGAAATATTCTCTTCATGTCAGGAAATCTTGACCTTGAATGTTTTCTCCCAACAAGGAAGGATTTTTCTTCTCTGGAGAAGGAGAACTAGCATTAAAAGACAGGCAGCACTAGCTTATTTATTAAGTGAAGTTCAAGCTAGCAGCTATGGTGAGCCTTCTGTGCACTTGGCATAGAAAACTGTGGAAAAGGAGGAGACAGTGGCTGTTAGCAGGTGGACTGAGTTCTTAACCATTGTTAAGAAGTACAACAGGAAAAATGGAATGAATTAGTCCCTTAACTCAGCTGATATTCGCGTTACGAACAGGCTCATTTGCCACGTACCAGACGCCCTTTCTCTGTTCTCCTCTAGCTGTAATTTCTAGAATGTGAGGAGTGTTCTTTTATCTGAGATAACCCCAAATCCCAAAAGCAGAGACACTTGTCTAAAGTTGGATTCGGAACTGAATGGTAATTTCACTCATTAGCGTCCATTTACAAATGACAATATCTTAGCCCATGTAGCATAGGAAAGCTGTCTTGGGTCCCAATCTTCCTTCCATCTGAAGAACCCGTGTGATACCAGCCCACAGTTTGAGCTGTTTTGTGAAACAGACATGAATACCTGAATTCGTGGCTTTGTTGAGAGGATTACTCTTGAATCCTGCCTCTCCTCACACTCCACCATGGCGAAGTTCTCTCATCCCTCCACCCAGATCGTTCCAGTGTGGACGAGAGAGAAGTTAACATGGCGACCCCGGACACTACCATGTTTGTTACCATGTATGTGACGGAAACAAGTTTCCTAAAATAGCATTTCTTGTGCTTTGCACTGATTTTCTATTGGATTCTGTTTCATTTTTAGCAAAATGTAGGTCACAGTGGTCTCATTTCACACTCCAGTAATGGTCCATGGCCTGCAGT